CCTTTGCATGCTCTCTGCTGTACCTGTGCTTATTTTTCTTTATATGAATTATTCCCATATCTTGAGTAATTCTATAAAGTTTGAGTGGGGACTGAAAAAAAGCTACTGCATATTAGTCATGCTGCTTTATTCTTGCACCATCTCTCAGGTCTCGACTCAATTTTTTTTAAGGCATCATTAAAGTGTTTTTCATCATCTTGTGGTGACCTCAAAAATGATAATTTAGTATTGTGGATTTCTTCCAGCGCTCTACATAATGTCATGATTATCTAGTAACCAAATCCAGAGATGCATTTGGGAAACGTTAATGTTCTGAATCATGCATTAGCGGTTGGGTCAGGCCGGTTTCAGTGTAAAGAAATCAGAGCCTCACGTCTGTCATAACAGCAGTGGACATCGTTGCTGTGTTATTAACCGGTTATGATTTTCCTTCCATGTTCGCTCTGCTTACCCTGGCAGGTCTTGCTGTCCTCCAGCAGCCTGTATCCCTCGTTACAGCGACAGCGATAGCCATTGAGCACGCTCACACACTCATGATCGCAACTGTGGTTCCCAAACGAACAGTAGTCGATCACTGAGGGGAGGAAAGCAGCGAGGCCATGAGCAGCAGAGAGGACAGCAGCCAAATGTGTGGGTTGCATTTATGTTCCCCTTGTCTCTCAGTAAGTCTCGGCTTTTACCTGCTTTGCTCTGTCCCAAATATGAACCTCATTTGTGAATGACTCTTACTGCAATAAGCTGATATACAAATACAATGAAATGATCATTTCTAACTGTATATCTCCACATGGGTTTGGTACTGCAAGGATTCATACTGTTGACAGGTGAGCCGTGAGGCAGTGATGCTATCGGTGACTGACAGGTGCTCTCCATCTCTTAGTGCATGCCACAAGCATGCAAACACTGAGCTGTAACTGATTAGCTGAAAAGCTCCTGCTCGCTTTCTGTCCCAGAATTTCAAACCACAACTGACGTGCTGGCTCACTCACAAACTTTGATGAACAGTCCAGTGAAATGTCTTCTGAAACATTTGAGGCGAGAAAATCAGCAGATTGAGTCTGTGTATGTTAGATAAACAACGACGACTGTCAAAGGTTTTCAGAAGAAACACATCGTACCAGATGTTCCAATTTCCATAAACTAGCTTAAACATCAGCCTCATGCTAACTAGGAGTGTGGGACTCGATGTGCTGGCTTATGAAACACAGCATGACTAGAATGCATTGAAATTAAGGATCTAGTGTAAACATACTGTACTGTTTCAGAATTTATGCTTTCTAACTTGTGCTTTAGAGATTTTCATTTAAATGTTTCTCATAAATCAGCCTCGTGTGTGCTGACTGTGTGCAGTTAAGGTGTGTGTACATGTGCGTATGTTACTTCCTGCAGTGTGAGGAAAGTTTCAAAGCAGATCTACAAAAAGATTTAATTGTACAAACTG